AAAGGCACGCCTTATTAACTCCCAGACATCTCATTTCTTGGCCATAAATCCTATTAACTTGCATTACCGACAGCCATAAAACTTACCGATAAAAGATAATTTATGCTCAGTGTACAGAGCTAATGTATTTGTAGAAGCACAGACCAGAATATGAGAAAGTACGTGTGTGACATCCAGGGGCTTCACACTCCGCACGTTAGCGAGGCAGATGTGGCTCTGAGCGCCCACAGGCCTCACAGGGAATACAGCCTAACTGGTACCTGGCATCAGGGGTCTTGTGTCTGCACCAACCTCACACTTTCCTGCTCACCCAAGGCCAGGATTCTTATGAAGAACACATTTTTGGAATTAAAAGAGGGATGCTTACTTTTAAGGAAGGATCTATAATGCATTCTATTTTTAATTTTCTATTTTAAAATGGCAGATTAAACATTCCTTTGAAGTAAACACTTCCTACTGAGGTTTTCCCTCATAAAGGCATTTGATCCATAGTAATGAACTATACCAAAGCACAATATAAGAGACATTATATGCCAAAAAGCCAATCAGCTAAAAAAGTCTAAACACTTGACCACATTTATACAGACTTGAAACCACACCATTGTCTCCTTGTTTTAAAAACCACTTTGTTATTAACAAAAATAAGCCACAGATAGGGGACTGGAAAGAGAATGGTGATGAAAGACTTCAGGCTGGAACAGCCTAAATAGTTTTAAGGGAACTGCGCCTAGACATGTAGGTCAGTTCAAATGGCCACAACAGTAACTGTAATGAAGGAAGGATGGCTACCTATTTATACAGCAGTCTCCTGAGACTCTCACGTGTAGATGCTCAGATGATGTGAAGATGGAAGCTTTTTTAGAAAGACCAGGAGAGCTCATTTTAGCCCCATGGTCTAGGGCTGTCCCAACCTCTTTCAGTCCCATGGCAGACACAGCACTAAAACGTCCATCAGCCAAACAGTTCCCAGAAGGTGTCTCATTCCTCCTGCTATTACCTGCAATTTCAGACAACCTGTAATTACAGAACTGGTTCTAGAAGACACTGTCCTCAAAAATAATGCCCATAATAATTAACATTTATATTGAATCTTCCCACTTTTGAAGAATTTTAGCAAAACTTAATGATCATCTCATTGAATCTACTTTAAATCATAAAGATTCCTGTGGTATCAGATTTTGTTAGCGTTGAGGAGAACTTGGTCATTTGGTTTAATCTGGGGGTACAGCAGCAAGGCGGGATATACCCTTAAGTGGATCCAAGATTTATCTTCTTTGAAAATAATACTGTGGAGATTACAGCTGCTTAAAATTACGGCAGACTATATGCAATTGTTTCCTATCTTAAACCCTCAAACATACTCATTGGCTTTTACATTTGTATAGCAATTGTCCATTCTCTCTGGAAAAGTGGAAGATTTCCCCAGAATCACGGGCAAAGAGGAGCAAAGCAGGCATGCTGAGCCCACAGGCAGGTCTGTGCTGAGCTGTCACTCCTTTCAGTGATGGAGGTGTGGTCCGCATGACCTCTGTGACCCACACTCTGCAATAATTACTTCCTTAGGGTGAGGCAATTTTCTCGTAGTTTCGATGAGACATCAAAATCACCAGAAAGGGAGAAAGGGGACACTGTTTGGGGGCATGTGGGCTACGCAGGCACACTTAACATAATCACTATGTTTGGAGAACTGGGCGTTCTGCTGTAAGAACTAAAGTTTAACATATTTTATAAATGCAAAAATGATGTTCCTGGAAATTACATAGGGCTGTGACCCAGACTCCCTCTGCACACTCTGGTGGCCAGCAGTTTGAGAGAAAGTGTTCTGTGGTCACACAATGTTTCCCTCTTGGACCACAGCCTTCCTCTCCCAGGCTGCCCTGCAGTTGGGCTGGGACAGTGTAACTGTGTTCCCACTGAAGGTGACATAGGACATGGCCAGGCATGCCTTTAAACACCTGTGAAGCTACTGTCCAGAAATCTTCTCTTGTCGCCGCAACATGATCCAGCTGGGTTAAGTATGAGTGGAGGGTGGTGCCCAACCACACCACGCTCCAGTGACGAGAACAAGACTTACACTGAAGCCGGGCTAAGCCTCTGCGGCTGCGGGTTAGTTTTCACTGCAGCACAGGTAGGGCGGAACCCAGGGCACCCTGATCAACTGAAAACAATTGAAAAATGCTAGAAAAAAGTAAAATGATTCTTTTCAAATGCATCAAACACCCATTTTATTTAGAAGAACACTCACAAGTGAATATGTTTTCATTAAAAAAGACCAAATCCAACTTTTACGTTCTAAACATTTGATATTCACCAAATCCAATGAACTAGGCCTTCTGTTTAGAAGGCCTCCGAGTATGAGAAGCCATCAGGAGACAAAGGCCAGGTTTGCCCGCCATCTGCCCGAGGTGGGAGTGTGAAAGCTGACTGCAGCGCGTGAAGTGAGGCTCTCAGTGCACAGAGAACTTTAAGTACATCCCACCGACTGCTGGGAAAACCACCCGAGCGGACCTGGGCACCCCCAGCTGAGCAGCCGGAACACATCTCCCTGAGCCTTTGTTGCCAGCATTCAACTCCCAGCGGCATTACCTTCAGAACTCACACCGCCTAGATGGTCCAAAAAAGTCCCAAACAGATGTCTTGAGTTATTAATGCCCACAAATAACTGGGCTAGGATCCACTCCAAATTCTCCTTGGTCTCACTTTTAACTCACACTTCAAATAGTTCCCACAGGTAAAGTTCCCGGAAATATGAGGTCAAGACCAAAAATCACAAAACACAGAAGGAATCGAGGTTACAACATATAAAAGTAAAAGTGAACATAAAAGAGAGCTGAGTTATGATGACTGCAGATGTTAGAATTATTCTAAAGTATCAGTAAGTGTGGCGATTATGTGTTCAGAGTCTTGAAAAGGCGAGTGAAGGGCAAGTATATGAGAAAGAAGAGTTGTGGCAGGAACTAAACAGTCAGTGGATGGGTTTAGCAGCAAAACAGACACAGCCAAAGTGGGAACAAAAGGGGTGAAGAATTTCAGATGCAGCCCAGGGAGAAGACACAGAAAACACGAGAGGTTTTGAGATGCACACGGTACAGCGGCAGGATCTCACACTCGTTTAGTGAGAACTGCAAAGGGGGAGAAAGAGGGCACAGGCAACGCTGGGAAACACAGTGGCCGAGCCCCAGGCCGATGGCAAGAGCAGTTCTGGACGGAGAGACCCAGGGACTCCCGGAACGCACGCAGGAAGCCCACAGCTACTCACGTTAGAGTGACGAGACAGACGCCGAGAATGGTGAAAAGCCCTTAAGAGTAGATGCCATTGTTAGACGTGGATTTTTCTATCAGTTTATCTTCCGATTTTACTTTTTAAAAGTTACTGTACCACATCGGTAGCTAACAGGTAATCTATTAACCCATGGAGACAAGTTACAGGACGATTAGCTTTCGTACCACCCATTAACATAACACAGCAAAGAAGGCTCCGCGCATCACAGTGACGACATTCAAACTTCAGAAACTGCTGGGAACTACAGTATTTAACAAATACCTAGAAATCTGAGAAGCATGTCTGAGCACGTCCCACCGATAAATGAAGTCTTTTAAAGACTTCCCATGACCCAGGGCGAGCAGTTCCGTCTTCAGTGGGTGGAATTCAAGGCTCCTCAGACTCAGCACGCGGGCTGGTTCTCCAGTCTCATCTCTGGGCATTTCCCACCCTGCTTTCGTTCCTACAAGGAGCCCTGTGCCTCTTTCTTTCAAGATTCGACCCCTTCTGGCTTGAATCGCTTGGCTATCATCTCCCACAGCAAACATTTACTCATCCTGGAAGATCCTGCTGCAATGTAAGCTCAACAGAACGGACGTTCCATCAAATCAAGGGCCCTGTGTTCCTGGAGAGGTGTCTGCGTATAGCAAGTGCTCAATAAACATTTGTTAAAGCAATGGAGTGAAAAATAGGCGAGCGAGAGACTCTGAGAAGCCTTTCCTTCCCACACCCTGACCAGGTCACACAACCTTCCGCCACCTTCATGTAGCAGTGCTCTAACCTTGCTCTGTAGTTGTGCTCTATACATGTCTGCTTGGCTGAACATGCACTGCAGAGCAAGGACACTATGTTACTGTTCTTTTTAATCCTCGACTGCCTAGCAGTGCAACAAGCAGGGAGCAGGCACCATAATGTTTGCTGACTATGTAAGTGGACAGTACAGAGTTTGAAGCTGAATCCTTCAGCTCCCCTTCCACATCTCAGAGGAAGTGCTCCAGAAAGCAACAGCGCCAGACAATGCAAAGAACCAGAAGGAAATGCGAACGAGGCTGAACAAGGGTGAGCGCACATTACAGCCACTATACCCACCGAGCAACATTGCAGGTAATGACTACGGATGGAGCAGCAGAAAACCACAAGTGGCAGATTACAGCGAGAGGCGAAAAACAAAAAAACCTGCCCACTGTCTGTAAAAAAGTTACCAAATGGTTATTTTTCAAACTGAAATCCAACAACCAACTTATAAAACTTCATTTACTAAGAAGTCTGTTTAACCAGTACATGAAATTTCCTTGATGTTTATCACTGGAAATGAATGACATCATCATTAGAAATTAATTCAGAGACAGTGAGATAAAGTTGCCAATTATGATAATGACACTGAAAATATGAGAATTCTATTTAAAATATTTGCCAAGCTTTGTCCTTCCTCTGAGATTTTTCTTAAATCCAGCTGCTCAAAATGCAAAAGTGCTAAATTTAATTCTTAGTCAATTTAATGAAAAGTTACAGGATTCTTTTTCTGGGTACAGTGGAATGAAAACTTCGAGGCTTCTCCTCTGCATTTTTCCTGCTCTGTGACCGGAGGCAACAGACTAAAGTAGCCCAAGTAAGCGACCTGGTCAAGCTCACTCATGGCTCAAGTACTCACACGGGGCTGATGCTTTCCGTTCGTCCACCCACATGGTACAAGTGTAGTGGAAGCCAAGTGCTGACACTATGGTTTCTCTTCACTTACTGGCTGGAGCAGGTAGATGAGCGATTCCTCCTGGATGATTATGATTGGCACACGAGTGATGCGCGTCGCCTGGAACAAGGTGCTCACGGAGGCCATGATCTGGTCGAAACGCCCTCCAATTCCTCCCAGTGTCACAATCACGTCAACCTGAGCAAGGCGAAGCGAAACAGGAGCCACGTAGTTAGACAACTGTAAAAGCTAAATAGCATCAAACACCTCAGTAGAGCTTTTAATATTCCATTTTTATTGGATAAGCCATAAAGAAATGGTGGATTTCATTTCTGTTGTTTAGATGAAGGAATTAAGTTGCCTGTTCAAGGTCAAAGAATTGGTAAGTGGCACTCAGGTTTCAAGGCCAACTCTTTTGAGTATAAATTTTATATTTTTCCCGTCTGCCTATTCACGTGGCCAACTAGCCAACTCTTCCTTTTAAAACACTGTTTACCTTCCTCTGTTTGGAATCTTCTCGATTTTGCAGCTGGTGAGTCTCCCAGCCACTCCCAGAGCACACCTGCGGGCACATCTGCCATACCACCCAGCACACGACACGAGCCTGTTTGACACTTTTGTCGCCCACTAGAATTCAAGTATCCTGAGGACCTGCACTGTCTCTCAACTGAACCCAGCAAGTTGCCTCAACTCTCTGTACCTCATTTTTATGTTCACATGTAAACAGTGGATAATAATGAAAAATTAACAGGGTGGTTGTTGTGAAGATTAAATGAGGTAATTCCATGAGTTACTAAGTGTTAAACATTTAGAACATGTTCTCCACCCCCTCTCTTTTCCTCTCTCTCTCTCTATATATATAAAATTGATTTTCAGAGAGAGAGGAAGGGAAAAGGGAAGAGAGAGAGAAACATCNCTTCCTCTCTCTCTCTCTCTATATATATAAAATTGATTTTCAGAGAGAGAGGAAGGGAAAAGGGAAGAGAGAGAGAAACATCAATGGGAGGCTAAAACATTGACTGGGTGCCTCCTGCAGGCTCCCTACCAGGGACTGAGCCTACAACCTAGGCATGTGCCCTGACCAGGAATCAAACCGGAAACCTTTCGGTTCATGGGACAACGCCCAACCAACTGAGCCACAGCAGCCATTACCTTTATTATTTTGGGTATTATTAGATTTATACTGCTATTAATATTTTTGTTATCGTTACATGTAATTTGGTGCATTCTTTTCGCTTAACATTTTAAAGAGAGCAATTCCTATGGGGACAGTATAACTAATTTAAATGTTTCCCTGTTGTTGAAATACTTCCCCAGGATATTTAAATATAAATTACTGTGAAGCTTTATTTATACCTAAGACATTGGGGACAGAAGGCTGCGGGAAGTGGAGGGGAAGCAGCAGTCCAGTCCCCTCCTGTGTGCAGTAGTGAGAGCACTGCCTCCTCCGACCCAACTCTCCTGCTCTCAGCCTCATCTCACAGGGTATGAGCACAGTCAGAGTTGGAAAACTGACCACAAGGAAGGAAGAACCGAAGAGCACAATGAATTATTGTAAGAAAACCTTACAGATAATAAGAACAAACAGCAATAATCATTCCATCTGAAATAAAATAGAAATTGTTTAAAAATAGGAGTATTTAAATGGAAAATTTCTCTGTGGCTCCCCTGAAAGATGGTGTGACCATACAATGTAACATACAAACTGAGATACTTCTGAGAGTGAAGCGGGGACATGGTAAGTGATTACACGAAGAGTCCAGGCATAAACTGGGACACGTGATTAGGTCTGTGAACACTGCGTGCCCCTTGACATCCCAACCCAAGAGCTTTACCTTCAGCCTTGAATACTCAGAATGAAGCGCTCCCTCATCCTGCTCAGCCCTTTCCTATCCTCTCAGCCTCTACGCTAGCCTCCCATTCAGCCGAGTCACAAGGTGCACCAGGGGAGCCTAGACCGGAGAAGGCTCAGGTCCAAGGGGCTTCTCGCCCATCCTATCAGACTTCACCTACGGCCCCACTGATAGCAGGATAATCTGCTTCACCAAGGCATCCGCTCCGATGGCTGCAGAGTCTTACAGTCAGAAGTTGTCTCCGTCTGCATCTCTCACCCATAGCAGGCTGGCTATGCACACGGGGCAGACGAACGGTTACAGGTCTCATGTTGTGACTCTGCCCAACAAGATCAAGCATCACCAAGTACACACTCAGTCTTCTAAGGTCCTGATTTCTTTCTCAAGTTTTTCATGAGACAAACGACTAAAGGGTTATTCTTCAAAGAATTCTGTAATTGGCGCTTTTATTACTGACATTAGGATTTCCATCCTTTAGTTCATCTTGTACACAACAATGACACTTTTTCTAAATTATCTTATGAACCTGCGTTCAAAATTCTTTGGTGGACTCCCATTCACTGCAGATCAAAATTCACATTCTTTGCCTAGAGAATCAAGATTCTCCATAGGTTGACTCCAACAGCCTTTCTAACACTGATGACTGTGACCACATCTCCTGAGAACTCTCACTGCCACTGTGCGTTGTTCTTTGTTGACCCTCAGATTGCCATTAAGAATCCATGAAAACCCTTCAATTTCAGCACCCTGGTCATGACAGAGTATAGGACAATGACAGTGCTCATTCTCAGATTAATGAAATGCTTTTGTGATTTACCCTGGCCAAGTCTTTGAATTCTTAGTTACACATTTCAAGCCTGACTGTACAAACAGTGCTCTTTTCCTCACACATCTGTCCTGAGTACTAATGTTTCCTTGACTGACTGGACCATAAGTTCTCAAGCCGTATCAATGAAGCCTCTGGGGTGGGACATTTTTCCATATAAACAAAACAGTGTGATATATAAAAATGTGGAAATGTGTTCTTTTTCCTTCCTGTGTAAATACGCTGAGTGATGGGAAGAGCGTATTTGCATGTATTTACATTTCTCTATATTGGGAAGTGACTACACCAAGGCAGTGGGGTTTTTCCTGTAAATGATTTTACTCTATTATCTCTTCTGAAAATTAAATTTTTAAGAGAAGAATCAGAAATATATCTACAAGTAAAATTACATAAACTCACGGTAAGTATAAATAAACCATGGATATCGTAAAATCTACCACAGATGATGATGGTCTCCAAACCCCTCATGCCGTCAGGATATAAAGATATTTCTGCGGGGAAGGAATTCAAAGTCACTCCTTCTGAATTACGGGGCTCATGATAAATGGGAAGATGAATTATTTGTGGTGGAATGCCCCCAATACCTAGCACAGAGTCTTCAACAGAGTTGGCAATTAGTGCGCAATGAAAACTTAAGTATGACCTATATCATGTTCAGAAACAGCCATTTGGAAGCAGAGTTTGAAAGGATATTACAATTTGTTTTATGTAAGTGTTGTCCCCAGAAGCTGACTGCTTGGTAGGTCAACGAAAAACCTCAAATCTGCATTCTTAGACTATCCTCCACAAAAGCACCGGGTATTTTTCACTCTGGCTAAAAATTCTCACATACATGGCGCCCTCCCTACTAAAGCTGGATATTTGGAAGGTTCGAGAATGTTAGAGCGCTAAGCGGTGTTCTTCCCATTCTGTGGGTTATGAGGTAGCAGAACATGTAACCAACCAGTAGTAGCCTCTTCCGTAGTCATTCCCATCACTGAGCCAGTGGAGCAGTGACATACTTTTCCAAACCTCTCTGCAAACAGAGTGACTTTGGTAAGAGAGGCTTGGTCCCAGAAGATTAGTATTTCTGCATGTGATCCTTTTTTAATGTCTTATCTTGCATCATCATGATTCATTTCACCCAACAATATTTCTTGCTTTGCTTTAGCCATAAAATAAGTCTTTGCTGCATACTCTTGTCCAAAGTGATAAATGAAACTCTTGGTCTCCATGTCTGGATGGATTAGATTCTGCTCTTTGAAGTACTTTGAGGGCATTATTTTCCCAGAGGTTAGTGGTATAAACTCTCTTCATTTTTCTTGACCAGTTTATAATAGATGGCTATCAGACTCGATGCAGTGCAATCTTTAGGTTTTGAAATCTGGAGCAATATAAATAGTTCATGCTGATTAGCCTCTTTCCATCTCTTGGGAGGACAGAGAACATTCTAGGCTTGGTCATTAACATTCAGGTTTCTAGATATGCACTGGACCACTTTAGAATGTGAATGGGAATGTTAAAACTGTTACTGTAGTGACACTGATTACCTAAAGCTTATTTCTTCCCATGTAGTAAGTTTGTTTCAGGTAATACATGTGTATAAAATAGCTAATCACCTCAGCATCCTCGGGTTCACTTTAAATTGTAAGCAAATGTATTCCATATTCATAAGTGCAATCTGGGATAAAATACTTGTTCAAAAAAGTTCCTCGTTATGAAATAATTTACTTTATTTATATGGATGCTTTAAAATCATCAGAATCATTAGGGTCAATTTCATAGGCATCTAAAATCTCTAATATAAATGGAGGAAAGAGAATTAAAATGTAATCAGTCTATTCTAAATTCAGATAGCCCCATTTCTAATGTGTTTCGAAATACCTGGATCCAGCTGTCCAGACTGGAAATTACATACATTCACATATACATTGAGAGGGAAGGTACACAGTTCCTCCAGGAAAGCTGGTACCATCTGATTTTTACTCTCTGCATAATGATATTAGTGTACCACCTGCTGTGCTGGACCAGCACCTTGACCATGGACCTCTGCTGGGAAAACAGGAGGCCATGGAAACAGAAAGACATCTTCTACTTCCAGCTATCGGGACAGGAAGAGAATGGAGAGTGAATAGTACAGGCTCCATCTTCTCTGATTTAAATGGACCTCCCTGAGCTATCTAACGCACAAAACGTATTTCTATGTGTGTTTCTCTTCTTATGATTACTTAATTAAACACTGACAACATATTGATCGGATATGCACATCCTCATGGTAAACAGTAACATCATTCCAGCTCTTCAGTCATGACTCAAACCATAAGCAAACCATTTCTTAAGAATATAGACACTATTATCACTGTGGATAATCATAATTACGGATGTAGGTATTAGCATACATAATATGTCTTGCTAAGGGATACTCCAAATGAAGGGAAATTTTATAAACTACTGAGCATTTTCAGGGTGTTCTAGCATAGGTGCAGTATGCTTGCAGAAGTCCTCAAGATATAGTTTCCTCCTCCCTGTGCCGTTTCTTT